TTTCTCTCCCCTGCCTCATGACTTGTACTCAGGAACACCTGCTACATTTCTAGACAATTTGGCCATGGTTTCAAAATCCTTAAGGAGCCAGCAAGTACTGCACACTTAAAGATTTGCTGTGATTTCGGCTTTCCCCCATAATGTATCTGGGAACTGATATTCTTTATAGTTAGTAAGTGGAGTCATTGATTTTCAATACAAATCCACAGCGTTATAAAATGTACAGGATTTGACCCCTTGTTTTCAATGCCTGGAACATGTATGGATGTATTGATTTAGATGTGAGAAAATTAGAAATGTTTTAATGTTTCCCTTTTGTGTGGTATAATTGAAGGGCAGAAATGCAACTTTTAATTCTTTACAAAGCTCTGTTCATCAGACAGGTGTTTCGTTGTGTTTGTCGTGTATATTTTACTATGATAATGGGGCATCTACAATAACCAAGTCATTCACATTTCTAACAAGGATTTTAAATTGCAGGCATCATATTGTTGGGAAAACCCATATCAACTAAGTTTTAAAATGATGTTTTGAATTTCCTCATGATCTTCAGGAAAGGTTGTTTGGAATTGAATTGAAGAGTGTTCTCATACTTCATGGCCAAAACAAAATAAAGACAATGATAATCGTGTATTCGTATTTTATGGACTAAAACCTGGAAAGAGCATTGTAATCTTATAACAAGGCTAGCATGAGGGAAACCATGCTGCTTGTGCATAATATACCATCTTTACCGTATGATATGTGAAATTAGAAATAGAAGAGAGCTATTACAGCAGCTAATGGTTCTGAGTTGGCAGAGTAACACCAGGCAGAGTAATCTGTTTTAATGATAGCGTTTTATGACTAAAGATAGATAGTACTTTAGAACAGTTTTATACTTAAATGTATTTGGATTCATATACAAACACACAGACATGGCAGGCAGAGACTGTTTTAGGGTCCCACCAAATATTATAGAACTCACATGATACATGACATGTAAAGCCTTTCTTTCTTAGTAGAGATAACCATCATATAAGAGGTCAACTGCCAGTTGAGGGGATAACACCTACTACACTCCTGATGTTCTGTCTCCTAGGTTTGTTCCCATTATAGACTCCATGATGTCATCTTTGGTGTGCTTTTGTGTGTCTCACTCCATTATATGGTTCTATGAATGATCAATGCTACTGAAAATGATTATTGGCCATTCGTTAGAAAAACAACAACCACTTAAGAAATTTTGTTTACAAATGGTGTTGGCATAACTGGATATCAACAGGTAGGAGAATGAAAATAGATCCATATCTATACCCATGCATAAAATTCAAGTCCAAATGGATTAAAGACCTTAATATAAATCCAACCACACTGAACCTGATAGAAGAGAAAGTGGGTAGTAATCTTTAGTGCATGGGCACGGGAGACCACTTCCTAAATATAACTTCAGTAGCACAGACACTGAGAGCAACCGTAAATTAATGGGACCTCCTGAAACTGAGAGGCTTCTGTAAAGCAAAGGACACAGCCAATAAGACAAAAAAAGGAGCCTATTGAATGGGAAAAGATTTTCACCAATCCCACATCAGACAAATATATAAAGCACTCAAGAAATTAGACATCAAAATTCTAAATAACCCAATTAAAAATCAGGTACAGAACTAAACAGAGAATTCTCAACAGAAGAATCTCAAATGGCTAAAGATACTTAAGGAAATGTTGATCATCCTTAGCCATCAGGGAAATGCAAATCAAAACAACTCTTACACCTATCAGAATGAATAAGATCAAAAACATCAATGATGGCTTATGCTGGAGAGGATGTGAAGTACGGGGAATGCTTTCCTTTCATCTTAGTTAACTAAGGAAATAAATACATTTATATATTAATATTATATTAACATTATAAAATACAATATTAAAATATGTTTAAGTAGGCCTATCTAGATGATTGGACTGAGAGATATCCCAAAGTTTATACCTATCATAGAAAAGCATGGCAAAAATCAAAACAAAAGCCATGAGTCCCTATGTGCAGCTATGTATGCATGTATGTGCACAAACACTGTGAAGACCAGAGGTGAACTGTGGGTGATGTTCCTCTTGTACCACATATCTTGATTTATCGAACAGTGTCTGTCACTGGCTTAGAATTCTTCAAAGAATGTGATGTGGCTGGTCATTTCATCCCATATACTACCAAGAAGATAGGTATAAAGTGGTGGGTGTGTCTCCAAACAGCTATATGTTGTTGTTTTACTTAAAATGTAATGACTCAGATAGATTTTGAACTTAAAATATGTAAAACAAAAATAGATATGTGATTAAAAGAAATACAGTCTCTCGACTCAAAGCCAAATGAATGGGAAAAAAAAAAGAATTCAGCTGTTCAAGAGTAACTCCATTCATGGTCTTCATTTAGTATAAAATGCCATTTCAGTCAAGGTTAAACCAGATAAGGAGAGAACATGTAGAATTACGTACCTTATTTTAACTTGATCATTATCCCTTAAGAGCCTGTTTCTTTTCTAATGAACTTTAGAAAGGGTTGGATGCAAATGGGAGCATAGATGATGAGGAACTTGGAGAAGCAGAGGAAGGGGAAGCTGTATATTATTTGAGAAAACAACGTTTTCAATAAAAGGAAGACAATAAAATCAAAATGTTAATAAATTCTGAAAGACGTGGAAGAAGCTGTTTTTCCTGCAGTATCAAATGTTTGGTCATGATTTAATTCTACTTGTAAAAATGAGTAAGTAGTCCATCTTTTTCATGTGCCAAAACAAGAAAGATACATTTCTCAAAGAATGGCCTGAGGTCACTTTAATCCTGCCTGAGCCTCTCAAGCAGAAGTTAAGAACCAAAGATAGAATGTCTGCTTCAGAGAAATCCATGGTTTGATCTTAAGAGCTATTCTGATGTGTTTGTTAACTAGTACTCATAGCATCAGACTGCATATGGACTGGAGCACCACAAGATGTGTCTTGGAACACGTGATTAGTGTTTCAGTCACTGGAGGCCAAAGCCCAGCCCTGCTGGCAGAGAAAGCTGTTGGTCACAGATGGCCTTTGAGAGCAGTTGTGGCGCACATGATTGAAACTATTGCTTATTCATTTTGTGCGAAATGTTGTCTAAATGTCTAAGAAAAATGGAAGAGCATGTTCTTGATGAATTTCTACTCTGGATCAGACAAATCCACTGCAGAAGTTACTATCTCTGTCCATGATTGGGTAAACATGTCTTCCTGGAGCACTTTCCATACTCATGCTATAATTACTTAGGAGACGTCTGTCATGCCTATTTTAAACAATCAATAATGGTGCTATGGCTAGCAAGCTGAAATGAGTATAAGACTTCTATACTCAACAACATATATATATATATATATATATATATATATATATATATATATAACAAAAGACTCATGTTCACAAACGTCTTTTTGCACCCTTGATGGTGTTCTCTAGAGAACAATTTATCTACCAAATATTTGTGCAAGTTAATTTAGCAATTAGTTTTCTCCGATATGGGTAACATACATGTAAAACTTCAATGTAACAACTCTTAAACATCATCTTATTGACTCTATTCCCTGTGAGTACAGATTTAGAAACAACATTGCTACAAAGTACTCATATTTTTGGTGAAAATATATCAGTATGAATTTGTCACATGATATAAGCATCATCCCACCCCTCACTGATTTATTTCACTTATTTTATTTTTGATAACAAATAGTGATACTGTTTCATACTGTTGGAGCGAAAAATAGAAAAGTTGTAATATCTGTAATAGCTTCACAACTAATTGAGATCTAAATAATGAGCAATTTACATTGAGTTATCAATGTCTTAGAAATAATGAATGGTTCTTTAAAGAATATTGACATGTAGGAACTAGAGAAAATACTGAGTTTCATTTAGAATATATTTTATGCATCTCTACTATAACAAAGAGATTGCACATACTGAGTGCTTGATAAATAATGGTAGGTGATTTGGCTCATCAGTCTGAAGGCTAAGGTCTAGTACCAGTAGGTGGTGAGAGTCACCCACGAAGGACTATGGAAAAGCAAACAAATGTACAAAAGGAAAATCCTGCCAGACTCATTCTTTGTATCAGGAGCTCATTCTTAATAATCCCCTTGCCACAACAACATTAATTCATGGTTGATGGCAAATGTTTTGTGGTTTAATCACATTGTCGTGGTCTCTTCTAAATGTAAAAATGACTATGAAAGTTCAACATGAGTTTTAGAGGAAACAATCAAATCACAGCAACAAGGATTATTTGCTTTTTAGCAATTTGTCAGGTTTTTAATTGCCTTTGAGACTTGGGGGAAAAGAAAAGGTTTTCAGATTAGAAACGTAAACCCATAAAATTGATAATCTAAGAGGTCTCTCTATTACATCTGTAATCTCTGTTATTTCTAAAATAATCTCTGTAGATAATATAATACACCCAAATATTTTTATTATATTCACCTCAGTTCTCTACTGTGGGATGTGGCAAAGTAAAATATTCTGAAAGGGTGATTTCAAAATATAAAATCTGTGCTTATTTTCTGCTGAAATTTAGTTACTTTAGATTTTTCTTCCTTGGCCCAATGTAAACATCATCACTGACCTTGAATGGATGATGGAAACATAAATTTTTAAGCTGACTGTTCTTGATTTATAGGCAGGGCTCCTCAGAACAGTGAGGAAAATGATTCTTGCTATTTTTGATTATTTCTTCATCATTCATATTTTATATTCTGAATATACCCTGAGGCTATTTTCAATGATACATTTTTATAAACTGGAAAAGTACACAAGAATTTATAATTTATGAAATATAATTTCAGCTCCTGCTATGTTATTTCTCCTCCTATAATCAAATAACAATGATTACCAAAACAATCATAATATTTAAAACATGCCAATTATTGTCATAAATTTTCTAAAGCTGTGGAAACCCAGCTGGAAACTCTTATTGTTCAGTAACATTTCTTTTTCTTGTGAAAAATTCTTTCATAGGATTGGAGAAAGGGAGTCAGTACAGTTTCCAAGTGGCGGCCATGACTGTCAATGGCACTGGACCACCTTCCAACTGGTACACAGCAGAGACCCCAGAGAATGACCTAGATGGTAAGACCTGAGTTTCTAGTTCTTAGCTACATCAGCGTATTGATCATGTAGCAATGCTAATGTACTCCATTTCTAAGAGTGTTTGTTTTACCTCTGTCTTTAGATGTACAACTAAAGAAAACAGTTTCATGAAAAGAGTCTTCTCAAGGTTTATATACAGTCTAGTTACATTGATTGTGCATTCATGCCTGTGCTCATGCCTTTGCATAATTGGAATAGTTTTCTGCTACAGTATTTTGAACTATTGACCTTAACTTCTTTCTTCACAAGAACTGCTTCATTTTCTGACAGTAATCACTATATCAATCTTCTCTGAATTTTTAAGAATGCTTCTTCAAAATGCATGCATTTTTTATTTGATTCTAATAGCATTCATATTTGATACTATTTGTTGTGCTAAAAAGAAAAACTATGTAATTTGTTTAATTGAGAATTATCTTGATACTTTATTAGTTAAAACATTAGGGTTCATACAAAATGTGTATAACAATAAATTAAATAGGAGCAGAGTCATAAGAATAATAAGATGAGACGTTCTTCTTGATATGAAAGCATCATGGTTGAATGGAAAATTAAGAAAACTGAGTAAAGGGGAATAAAAATAAAGTTCAAGTTATAAAGTACATGGATGCTGCATATAATATGAATTAAAATAAAAAGTAAATAAGTAATGAAAATAAGAGTGAAAGTAAAACAAAATCTGTGTATTTAAAGTTAGGTGTTCAAAACTAAGATCAAGAAAAACAGAATTAAAATTGAAGCTCAGTTGTGTGCTGAAAATTTGATCACACAAGACTTCTTAGTAAATAATGAACAGTGATAAACTCTTAATTCTTAAATTTGGAAATGATATTCTCTGAGGAAAACTAAATGATAAAGAAGTGTGCATCTCTTCCCCTCTCCCTCTTCTTATTTTTTTCTTCTCTAAGTCATTGACATTCTTTTTCTATTTTTTCCAATAGACTCAAATATTTGCACCTACATCCTTGAACACTTTTTATCCTTGTTTCCCTCCATACTTTTCATCTTATCTTTGTAAAATTAGTCATTGTTATTCATGCATGTACAGATTTGATCTAACAAACACAATTGTGATATCAATAAAACAATGAGCAGATGATGTTTCCACAATGGTGATGCTCACTTCCAAGTGGGACTATAGCTATTGTATTCTTTCTTTTCTCTCTCATTATCTTGACTAAATGCCCAGCAAGAAGCAACTTAAAGGAGAAAGGACCTGTTCTGCCTTCGTCATCTCTTGAAGAAAGAATGGCACAAGAGCAGGTGCAGAAGAGCTAGTCACAGTGCAATACACTCAGGCAGCAGAGAGTGAGCAGGATGATGACACAGGGCCCACCCATTTAACTCCGTTTCCCCAGCCTAGCTCTAAGACCTGCAGCTTCTTGCCAAACAGCTGAGAATCAGATGTCTGGACAAATGAGCTTTTGGGTGTCATTTCACCTATAGACCAACACATCCATTCAAAGAGCAGTTTATAAAATTCTGTTTTATGACAAGCATAGTGTGCTATTCTCAGGACCAGACACTGAGAAAGACTTTTTTTCCCTTCATGTTCGAAGTGTAACAGAGATGTAAAAGGTCAAATTGTAGAAAATGATCTTTATTATAAAGCAAACCAGGTTGAATTTTTTTTACTAGCATATAGGCCAAAAGAGAATAGATGAATAAATGAGGAAAGAAAGTTTGAAATTAAAACTCACTCTTGAGGGATGAAATGTTGATGACTGAGTAGCATCGTAGCCTATGGGAGGATAATACAGGAAGAGCACGGGTAGTTTGAGGCTAGCCTCATCTACAGATGGAGACCAGTAATTAAAGATACCACACACAATAATAAACCTAGTACTTGAAGTCTAATGATAATTTGTTATAAAATTGGAATTACTAACATTATAAGGGGTAGAGAGTAATAACTGCAGGCTTTAGTTTAGCATAGGCAGCATGCTATTACAACACTGAATTTTTAAACTTGCAACAGAAACACATGATTAAGTTTGTATACAAATTATTTCTAATTCTGACAAGATCAATTTTTGGCCAGATTTCAAACATGTTGAATCTTTTAAGTATTAATGTTCCCTTAAAATCAGTAATTATTTTATACTAAACACATTGCTAATTTTTAAAGATGTATTATAATTATAATTCCATCTTAGAAAGATTGCACAAAGCAAAAAATGTACTCCATGCCACCAACATAGATTTAGCCAATACTAGAGGTTTATACAAAATAACTATATTAAAATATTTGCTTGATATATATAACTGACACAAAGTCCATTTTTTTAACAAGGTTCATATATCATTAATATATCAGGAATAGTTCATAAGATTGTATGTGTACAAAGTAGTTCTTTTTCTTTCAAGCAAAATAATAAAGTCTCTGCTAATAAGGAGTACACATTTTATTCAGCTGGAGATGTGTAGTGATAAATACTTTTAAAAAGCAGGGCCATATGATGGCTAACCATTAAGAGTGTACACTGCCTTTCCAGGAGTGTCCCAGCACTCACACTGGGATCTTCACAATCACCTGCAACTCCAGCTGTCAGGGGCATCCAATACCTCTGGCATTAGTGGGGATGTACATTCAGGGACACACATCCGTTTGCATACACAGGCACATAAACAGACACATCACTTAAAATAATAGAGGTTTTCTTAGAAAGAAATTATAGAGAGACTAGAAATGACTACAGAGTATCACTTTATATGGAAGGAAATTTCTCCGATTAAGTACACCATAGTCCAGGCTATAAGAAAATGAGGGGGCAACCACAAGAGTACAACAGACAACAGTCTTCTGCCACAAGAGGAGCCCTCATGCCCCAAAACTGGAGCTCGACTAGCCAAGACATCAATGAAATTTGGCTTACGAGTGCTATCACCTGTTCTGTTTAAATAATTATATGCCATTAACATGATTAATTCTTCTATCTTACTTCAGGAAGAATTTCGGAGGTTGTGTGTGTGTGTGCATGTGTGTGTGTGTGCTGTTCTTTCTTAATCCTCTTACCCAATTTCATGAAGTAGATAATATTAGCTTTAGTTCAGAGAAATGTAACAACCTAAAATCATTCACTAAATTAATCAGGTCAGCTAAGAACCCATAGCTAGAACTCAAAGAGTCTGATTCTCTGAATTCATGCCCAGTGCTCAGTGCAAAGACTCCGCTGACCCCACAGCTGTGGATGTAGGTAGAAATTTATGAAACAAATCTGCAGTGATTCAAGGCAAACGATTCTAAGTGAGATCATATCACTTACCCAAACCTAGAGGCTATATCTCTTACTAGAAGGAGTTCAAATAAATGGAGCAGAGGTGCAGGGGATCCTATAAAATACCAGCAGTGGAAAGGACTCTGCACTTGACTCATGTGCTCTTTCTCTGACTCTGAGTGAATCAAATTCCAAGTGAATCCAATGTAGAAAACCACAGCTTTCTTATTGAAACACAACCTTCCCTCAATTATATGCTTTTTTTCATACTTGTGCCTCCTCTGTGTAAACCACTTCCCATCTCTCTTAAAGTCAATAATCTGGATGCAGTTCTTATGAGTGGAGCCATATGAAATGCTCATACTTATTGAGCTTTTCCAGATTCTACTTCTAAGTTGGTCCCTCTTCTCAATGAGGTATTTTTCCTTGCATTTTCCTTATTTTACTATTGATGCAAGTATTATGAAATAGAATTAAGAACCTCAAGTGTGTTGAGTCGTGAGGAACGCAAGCAAGAAATCGGTGAGAATGGCTCTACTGATGCATACAAAATGGCCGCACAGATTGGAAACTGTTTCATTATATAGAGTAGTGCATTTTAGGAAAAGGGTGTTTTGACAAGTATGATTAAACAGAAAAGCTCTCCGATACTCTTTAAAAAGCATTCTTTTAATATATTACCGCAACCATTGCTGGTTCACAAAATTTTATACTCATTTATGTGAGTGATGCTGTTTGGTAAGAAATATTTATTTTTGTTTTCTTTGTCTGAGCGTTTGCCAACATGTATGGTGTATTTGTGTGCAGCATGTGTATGCTTGATGTCTATGGGTGCCATCAGAAGGTATTGGGTGCCCAGGGAGAAGACTTCCCAATGGGCTGGGATTCCATGTCAGTGATAGGAAGAAAAGGAGTCCTGTAGACAGTGAAGAAGTTCTCTTAATCACTTAGGCATCTCTAGCTCTGTAATGCTACTCTTTCACCCATTCTTTACCTAACACTGTTCAGTCTTGCGCAATTTTCATTCTTCTATAAATTCATCCTGATGGTAATTTATGAAACAACTTTTTTCCCTTCTCACAATACACATTACTAATGTGAATACAAAGAGTAAATACAAAAGGATGTTAGTGGAGCGGGTACTTCTTGACCCAGTGATGTTACAGAATATGATACCAGATTGTTTGAAACATAATGGACACTAACAGATTTCAGAAAATTTAGTTATTTAAAAATGACAAGATTTACTCTCTCTATGAAACAATGTTTCATTTACTGTAAGAAATTAGTAGGAGCCTGGCGGTGGTGGCACACGCCTTTAATCCCAGCACTCGGGAGACAGAGGCAGGCGGATCTCTGTGAGTTCGAGGCCAGCCTGGTCTACAAGAGCTAGTTCCAGGACAGGAACCAAAAGCTACAGAGAAACCCTGTCTTGAAAATTCAAAAAAAAAAAAAAAAAGAAAGAAAGAAAGAAAGAAATCAGTAGGGTTGTTCTTATTTGATTGTCCATCATGATTTTTATTAAGTTAAAAATAGAATCAAACTAATTTTGATTTTCTTTTAACTATACTGTTGAACTAACTCGGTTCAGGAAATAACCAGGCTAGATAAAAGATAAAACAATTATACCTTTATTTATTATATATGGAAAACTTATGGCCATGAACCCATAAGTTTCAGATCCTTGAGTCACTAAGCAGAGGCAGTGCTGATTCAGCTGCCTCTTTTATCGTTCTTGGACTCTGAAACTTCTCTTTCTTT